GTAGCGCGCAACTGAAAGTCTGAAGAAGATAGTCAGTCACAGAAAACAGAACAAGAATCGACAACTCTACCATCTGCTCACTCCTTTCCATATGCTCCATCAAGGATGGTGCTACAGAGGCCGTAAGGCAGTGCACTTACAACTACAATAAGCATGTTAATGTTAATCTAACAGCCTGCTGGCGATTCATTACCATCCCCCCCCCCCCCCACGGTGGTTTTGAAATGCTCCCGATTTCTGAGGTCTCAAGGTTGGCAAGTATGGTCCTACACCTTGTGACGTACAAATTAAAAACTATAATTGTGTCACTCGCTACTCTCTTTATAACATGTAAAATAACATTACAACGTACCCCAGTCCATCTGCCTAGCCTTAACAAGTAGGATAGCTTCCAGAAGTTTATCGTTTGGCTCAGGGGCGGGGACGTGGATCAGTGAAACTCCCTGCAGACTCGTGGGGACTCAGAGGAGCCGTAAATTATGGCTCCTAACCGTAATAGCATAGCAGACCCAGAGATCCATACTCGTCATGTGCAAGAGCATAGCCGCGGGAGTGTGGCCAAAAGTGGGGAGAGATTAACAGTAACATGTTGCAGCCCCTCCTCCAGCTCCCGGCTCCCGCGCATAGCTCCCGCATCTATATTATGCACGAGTCAACAGCAGACTCAGAGATTCGCAAATCCTGACTCACTGTGCAATAAAACACAGCAGACTCGTGCGGACTCAGAGCCGTAACCGTAGCAGCAGATCCAGAGATCCAGCAGACTCGTCGTCATGCACGAGTCAGCAGCAGACTGAGATTCGCAAATCCTGACTCACTGTGCAAAACACAGCAGAGCAGACTCGTGCGGGACTCAGAGCTGTAACCGTAGCAGCAGATCCAGAGATCCAGCAGACTCGTCGTCATGCACGAGTCAACAGCAGACTCAGAGATTCGCAAATCCTGACTCACTGTGCAAATCATAGCAGACTCGTGCGGACTCAGAGCCGTAACATATAGCAGCAGATCCAGAGATCCAGCAGACTCGTCGTCATGCACGAGTCAGCAAGCAGACTGAGATTCGCAAAATCGCAAAATTACCCTTTTTTTGTGATCAACATGTTTTATTAAAGCAAAAGACAACGACTTTACACACATAAGACACGACTTTAAACACCACATTTAAGCACATACAAACACCAGTATTGCAATGATTACGCAGTCCATGAGAAAAATAGGGGGGGGGGGGGGGCATATGATTAGATCTACATACACACTGTTTTCATGACCCAAATATGTTCATTTTATTATTAATTTCTTATTTTTCATAGTTATTTTATCATGGGTGGAGATACTGGGTGAAGATATGCTTGATTTGTTTTGTGTGCATTTAAAAAAATAAGTGTTTTGGCATTATATGTATATAGTTTATTTTAATATTTTCCTTTACTAAAGCAAATGTTGCACAATTGGTATTTTAATAATAATAATTGTATAATTAAGACATTATATATATTCTAACTGTTTTGCATTTTCTATAATTTGTCATTGTTTGTTTCTTTTGTGTGCTATGTTCAAAATAAACGTTTTGCCAAGTAAGATCCTTATTGGAAATGCAGCTATTACACGCAGGAGACTGTTGCAACAACATGACAATGTTTGTTAGAAGTCTACACTGAAACTTCATTTAGAGCCGGAAACATAATGGACTTAGAATCAAAATCGCGGGATCCGTGAATCCCAGGACAATGATCGAGAGAGACAGCAGTAGCCTACGAGTTAGTCAGCGGAACTTCACAGACTCAGATTCGCAAATCCTGACTCACTGTGGCAAAACACAGCAGACTCGTGCGGACTCAGAGCCGTAACCATATAGCACAGCAGATCCAAAGATCCAGCAGAACTCGTCGTCATGCACGAGTCAACAGCAGACTTCAGAGATTCACAAATCCTGACTCACTGTGCAAAACATAGCAGACGTCGTGCGGACTCAGAGCCGTAACCGTATAGCAGAGCCGATCCAGAGATCCAGCAGACTCGTCCTCATGCACGAGTCAACAGCAGAATGAGATTAGCCAAAATCGCAAAAATTACCCTTTTTTTGTGATCAACATTTTTTATTAAGCAAAATACACTATTGAGGCGGAGGTTATGTAACGTCAGTTTAATATGCTTGTGAAATGCAACAAGTTTTCGGTTTTCACCGGTAGGATTTCTACGGTCTTGTGATGCTCGACTCATATGACTCAAATGACTCGTATGATCCGGATCTCTTCAATGACTGACTCAGAAGACCCTGAGTCCGTAAAAGGATCCGGATTTGCCATCTCTAGTTGCTGCATGTAGCAGCTGCGTGTGTGTAAACTGCCCCGCCCCCTCGCAAGCAGGCGGGGGAGAGAGATCTCTCGTCTGGATTGGAAAGATCGAAAATACAAAAAATAATCATCTTTTTGCATATTAGAAACGGAGTTGGCGACACTAAAACTGCAATATAATGTTTGTGTAGCAATAATACATATTTTTTATATAAAAGACCGATAACATCGTAGCTTAACGGTACCACGGTCTTTAATAATTCAGCCCCGTATTCATTACAGTATCAGCAGAAAAAAACAGGCATTGCAAATAATTAGAAATTAAAATAGTAGAAACTTAACAATTTATATAGGTGGCATGTATAAATAATGTGTTACGGTGGAGTCTATTTTTATATAACATTAGAAATAGAGATGTCCCGATCCGATCACGTGATCGGGGATCGGAGCCGATCACGTGATTTTCAAAAGATCGGAATCAGGAGAAAAAAATCAGGGATCGGGATTCTTTTTTTCTATAAAATATTTTTATAATTGTATTTAATGTTACAAAACGAAAATGACCATGTTCACGTCTTAAAGTCATCCTGAGGCCTTAGTTTTGGTTTAAAATGACACAACATCATGTGTTGCTTCTTTGGGCTTGTTTTCATAGACCTGGTTGCTTATTTCTCTCAAATCTGGCAACAGAGTGGGCGCAGTGTCTAATAGTAGCAGTAAGCTAACGAGAGGCTACGTTCAGCTGGTGACTCGGGAGTCGGGACAGAGAAAATGTCAGGAGTTTGGAAGTATTATAAAATTGAAAGCGAAGGCAGTGTAACAGCCAGATGCAATGTTTGCAAGGCGGAGGTTCCACGTGGTGGAAAGAACAGAGCTACGTTCAACACGACCAATCTAATACGCCACCTGAGAAACAAACACCAACAACAATACGACGAGTACACAGCGGCCACTCAGGTAACGGCACTGAAACAACAACCAACACTTTCAACTACTTTTAAAAGGAAAGAGAAACTGCCCAGAACAGTGAAAAGGCCAAAAAAATAATAGCCAAGATAGCTGAATTCATCGCGTTGGATGACCAGCCGTTATGTTACCTTTTTTTCTCATAATGCATTGCATAAAGATCGGATCGGGAAAAATCGGTATCGGCAGATTGTCAAAATCAAATGATCGGATCGGGAGCAAAAAAGGTGATCGGGACATCCCTAATTAGAAATACTGATTCTTATTATTACATTATAAGCTTATTGTACTCATTTTTGTTGATATGACTTTGGAATAAATAGACAAAATCACCAATCCCAAGGTTTAATGGATTGGATAGGAAACGAAGGGAATAGTCATATGAGAGTTTTTAGCTTGCAATACTAATGTAGCAAAGTCAGGTGCAGACGCTGCAGAGACAATGAATTATTGAGGCTCTGGCCTTGGCCGTGTGTGTGCTCAAGATCAGGAATCAGGAATCAATGTAAATGGAGGATTCCACTATCTGTCTGCAAAGTAGCTTTAGCGAAAACAAATTATTAGGATAGCGGATAGAGTAGGGAGGGACTTCGCCGGCCGGCCGGCTGAATGCTGATTGGAAGGTCGTGTCGCCAAGAGACTTTGTCTAAGTCTGCGCACCAACGAGAGAGAGCCAAAGTCTAAACCAAGGTTACTCTCCATCTAGTCTCAACCAATCATAAATATACGGGCAACGCCCTGTGTAATAAAATGTATTGTCACGCGAGGTTCGGGGCTCTTTCAGGAAATTGACTGACAGATTATAGCTCTGCTGCCTGTGATTTCTGTGACCGGACGGAGTCCTTGGTCAAGTGAATATATATATTTTGCTCTCTTATAATAAATAGTTGAACTTAGAAGTTGTTTGTCTTTCCTGGAATTTTTAATACCACATTACATTTTCGTGTGAAAATAAGGGATACAAAATATGTGATTAAATGCTATTCAGCAAACACAACGGCGGAGATGCAAACGTTATTGAAGTAACAACTTCTACTGTTAGTCCAGGAAACAAACTGTGTGAACCAAGGCCTAAACAGAGACCAAAGGTTACCCAGTTAGCTGTTTATGTGTTTTTGTGAAGGAAGCGCCACCTCATGGTAAAACCCTGCAATCTAACAAATGGGCGGATCTACAGTGTAATCTAGCAACGCCCTCTCAGGAAACAAGGGGAGGGGTGTAGATCACCAGCCAATGGGATTTGTTGGGTTTCCGGCTGGAATTCGGCAGGTCGAGGGGCAAATGGATGTGTGTTTGTGCTATGCATTATTACAGTGAAGCAATGAAGTCTTAACAATGCTGTCACAGAGAGCAGCTGTGATGAAGCGCGGTGTGATGTGCGCTACACCGGCATATGCTCGTACGGTAGTGTCCTTGCTGCCCTTCATACCCTTCCCGACACCTAAATCAAGCAAATGCACAACATACATGTCATGCATTAGGAGTGCTGTGTGTGTAGTGATGCTTCTCAATGATGTCCAGGAGTCTACAATCAGTGTAATACATGTAACGTGTTAAGGTTTCTAGATTAATAGCAAGCATTAATGGGTTAACGTTGACAGCCCTATAAATGATGTGTCTTGCTTATTGATCACATTAGCTCAATGCAAAAACAAACGTAAAAAATAATCACATCAAACCCTTTTTAGAAGGGTAAAATAAAACATAAAAGTAAATGTGTTAAGAGACGTGAACTCTGACCAGGCTGGACATGTTGGCGAAGTCGCGGTGCCTCAGCGTTGTGATGAAGTTGTCCATCAGCCTGAGCTCCGCAGTCTGCCGGTCAATGTTGGGTGGTACAAATAGTAGGCCCGTCTTGGCACACAGCACCGTGTAGGACGGCATCAGGTTCTGGCAGGTGCAGCGTTTCGGACACAGCATGGAAGACAAGGAGGAGTTGACGGAGGACAGGAGGACAAGGAGGAGGGGGAAGAGGAAAGGGCTCAGATGCGAGGAGACGGTATCCATGTCTTCTTTGCTGCTGCAACAAAGAAAGAAAAGCGCTGTGAGTATATCCAGTTCAACAGTGTAGTACTTCGCCCAAATCAATAATACTTTATTTTAAGGTCCCATGTTATGGCCATTTCTACTGATCATAATTCTATTGTTGAGGTCTACTAGAATATATTACTTTGTTCAATGTTCCAAAATCACTCTCTGTCCTACACACCTTGTTGGAGCTCCTGCCCCCCCCCCCCCCCCCCCCCCCCCTCCCCTCCCTATAGAGTGGTGCAGTGACGCATCCTAAATCCCGGAAGTAAGCTGCGCATGGGTTCCCTTGACAAAAAAGCAATGGGATTTCTCCATAAGATTTTAGAAAATAGCTCGAAATAAGGTCTGTGGAAAACGAACCTGTTCTACATGTCTACCCTACTTTTATAATTTTATAATCATAAATCTATCGATTAGATTTTAGAGCTTACTTCCGGGTTTAGTGGAGCCTGGCAGCGGCGAAACCGCGCCGCGCCACTAATTGCGGTGCATAGGTGCGCCACATTTTCGGCTCCCTCCGCAAGATGAGGCCCCAAGCAGCATGCATGATCGGCCTGTAGGGAGGGACGGCCCTGGTTAGGCTATATATTGTGGGACATTTTCAGCGTAGGCCTATCTGAATATTGGGGGGGGATGTGATCCCCCCAACAGCAGCATCCAACCGTCTCTAATCATAATCAAAACATAATACAAATAAATGTATTGCAATGTGCAAAACGGCAGCATCCAACAGTCTCTAATCCTTGGATATTACATGTCACTGCATGCAGGCATGCACGAAGCACCCATAGCAAGGAGATCATCATATCATTCTGTCTTGTATTACTTAACAAACACAAAATAAAACAAAAAAACGGTTGTTGGCGGGCGTGAGCCGGCTCCCGTCATTCACCTAAAAGTCGTTTGCGACCGACACATCACTAGAACATCAGTGTTTATGTGTTACAATGGCGTTGGTTAGCAACCAGGAAATGACACCAGTAATGACAAACAGAGGGGTTAGGGTGCGGTGTTGGCGGGACATTGCGAGGTGGATTACTGGTGTCATTTCCTGGTTGCTGCATGGGGTCTGAGTGCCATGTTAGCGGGACACCGCGGAGCTCGGCACTTGGTCTGTCTATATCCAGCCTCCAGGGAAACACAGCGGGAAATCCACCTCACACTGTCCGCTCCGGGGCACATATTTTCGGTGTTAGAGTTTTACTCGCTTCAGGGTGTACTTTGAGAGTTTGTGACTCTGCAGACCGTTTACATGCAGAAAAAAGCTACATAACACACAAGGGGACGGGTAATAACCGGAAAAGCATATGATGGGACCTTTAAATAATGTGTTGTTCAGCATAGACTGATCCTGTATTTTGCCGATGGCTGATTGGCTTTGTGCTTTCTGCAAAAATAATGTAGTCGCAAAAGCGAAATCATATTGACAACATTTGTATTTGAGTTTGCTTGACGTTTTTAATGTTGAAATAACTGACGAAAAATGTTTGGCCTCTGATTTCTGGGCTTAATTTCAGTCCCAGTCCCAGAGTGGGCTCCTCTCATTAGCATTACAATGTGTCCTTGATGCAGTTCTCTCTCCCTCTGAGTGAGAAGCTGGAGAAAAGAAAGCTAAAAGTAGAAAAGTACTGTTCTTTGTAAAAACAACACTTTTTTTTTTTAAATTGACCTGCATACTCAAGACCGTTTTCAAAAGAATGAAAGACTATATATTAGTGAATTACAATTAAGATAATGTACTTTATTTGATCCAAAGTCTGGATTTCTTTACATTCAGCATACAGCAGCAGCACAAAAAACAAGGCATTGCACACAATTAGAAATTCAAATAGTAGAAATATAAACCTCTCAAAATAGAAAATAATACAGAACTAAAAAGAGTTAAATAAAAACAATGATCCATTAGTTAATGTGTTCATGGTTGGCAGCCTGTTAAGGATGAATTACTTTAAAGCAGGCCTATTCACTTGCGCCGGTGGGCCGAATATGGACCTTTTGAACTTTTTTCCGGCCCGCAAGAGGTTCCTGCAAATCGGGCTGGCATGTGTGTAAAAAGTATAAATAAAACTACATTGACAATTGTAAAAGTAATGTGTTGATTGCGTAACCAAAGGTTACCCAGCTATCTGTTTAGTGTTTTTGTGAAGGAAGCGCCATCTCATGGTAAAACCCTGCAATCCAACAAAATGTGCGGGTCTACAGTGAATCTAAGCAACACCACTCGTCAGGAAACAGGGGGAGGGGTGTAGATCACCGGCCACTGGGGATCCGTTGGGTTTCCGCTGGAATTCGGCAGTGGAGGGGAAAATGGATATCCACATCTGTATGACAGTTTAACCAGTAAGCCTAACCAGGGCATGAAACGCCGGGTTACGTATTGTAACCCTTGTTATATAGCACAGGCGGAGCCCTACTGGAACACTATGGGTACTACCTTATCATGCAAGCATTAACCTACTGAGATTTCTATAGACGTAGCCCCCCCCGGTGCGGGCCTAACGAGAATGCGTGCGCATCTCACTTCCGTATAAAAGGAGGCCCCCGTCTCCTGACCACCATCCTACACCACTCTTCAGCGAGGACAGACAGTGCCCCAGGGCTCCGCCTGTGCTAATATAACAGGGTTACAATACTTAACCCGGCGTTATCTCTCTCACAGGCCCACTGTACTCATAGAGTCCAGTAGAGGGCGGAGCCCCGATGTATGCACGCACTGTCATCCAGCACATACACCGTTCCACCTCACTGTCCCTGACCGGCTTTAGCAGCCATTTGCGCCTCACTCAACCTCTCCCCTCGTTGTAACCGTGGAGAAGTCCAGGGTGCGGCCGATAGAGCACACCCTGACGCGCTTGCCTCGCAAAAAAGTGTGCTCGAAAACAGTGGCTGAGGGCTCCCCCTTCGTCCGCCTATAGTTAGACAGGGAAAGTCCACAGCTGTATGGGTTCACTATGCACCCTCTCTCCTGAGTCCCTAAAGAGCACGGGAGAGCGCAAGTGCCCCCTATGTCCCCACACTCAGTCACTGACCCCGTGCAGAGTGGTGTACGGACTATAGTGTGGGAGAGCTCTCCCCCTCCTGCTCCCAGGCAGGCGAGGGGAGCCCTTTAGCCCTGTCAGGGCCCAAAGCGCATTACGTCACCCCGCGACCGCGCCAGGAGTCCGGAGAAACGTAAGCGCATTACGCCTGGGGAGGGGGTCAGATGCCCACTGACCCACAAAGCCCCCCCCCCTCCTCACCAGTCCTGTGTTGCCCCAGCAGAGCCAGACGCTGAGAAAGAGCCAGACATATCCAAGAGATAAAACGTTATGAAGGGGCCAAAGCTCGTGTGGAGTGCGCACGGACCCGCCGTGGGACAGGCTCTCCCTGCCTGCTCATAGGCGTGTGCAATGCCTCCGCAAAGCCAGCCTGCCAGGGCGTTGCTTGGACAGAGGCTTTCCAGTCAAACCCCCGCCCCCGAAGCACACATACAGCTGTTCAGTGCGTCTCAGGGTAGATGTGCGCTCTACATAACATGCTAACGCGCGCACACGGCAGAGGAGTGTAATTTAGCTTCTCTGGCCCCACCATGGAGTGGAAGACTAAATCCCCCCAACTGAATAGCCCTCGACCTGAACGCAGTCCTTAGGCTCTGGGCACAAAAGGATGGGTTCGGTCTGAGTGTCGCCCCGCTCCGGTCCACCCCGAATCAGTAAACAGCTCGGGGGCACCGACGAGCGGGTTTAACTAACTCGGACACTCTTTTGGCTGACGTTAGGCAGTAGCAATGCTGTCTTCCACGACAGTGCTTTCAGGGAGGAGAGCTCCAGAGGCTCAAATGGCTCTGTGACCAGAGCCTCGAGCACCAGCGGCAGGTCCCACTGTGGGGTGGAGGCGCGCACTACTAGGCGCAGCCTCCTGACCCCCTGTAAAAACCGCAACATCAGTGGATGAGAAAAGGCTGACCTGCCATTGAATCCCTCATGACAGGACGAGATGGCTGCTGCATACACTTTACAGTAGAATGAGCAAGTCCTCTGTCCACCAATAACTGTAAGAAGGACAAAATAGAGCCCAACTCGCAATAATAGGAGCTCTATTTTCCGCTCCTCACACCATCGCTGGAATCCCAGCCACTTTGGCCTGTAACAGGCTGTGGTGGATCCAGCTCTAGCTGCCTGGATAGACTGTCAGACAATCCACCCTGTCTCAGCCTGTCCCTCTCAGGAGCCAAGCCTGGAGAGGACGGCCCAGAGTGGGTAACGCCCCGATTGTACCTGCCTCTTGAGACAGTCGCTCCCCCAGAACTGGGGAATCGCCCAGGGCTGGCCCCACCTTCATCTGTGTCATCTCTGAGTACCACGGAGCCCCCGACGCGATCCGGCGCTACCAGAATGACTGCCAGACGTTCTCTCTCGGCCTCACTCTCCTCACCCAGGAGGGGGAGAATGAGACGCAGCGGTGGAAAGGCTTAGAGCAGCTTCCTTGGCCATGGCTCGTGTGGCAAACGCGTCCACCCCTAAAAGGCGGGTCGTCGCTCAGGGCCATGGAGAACCACAGGGCAACAGTGGCTGTTGCGCCGGCAGGCGAACTGATCCGCTTCTGCTCTCTCCCAAACTGGGCCCAGATCTGCTTCACCACCTCTTGGTGAAGCGTCCATGTCACCTGGCAGGGGGGCCGCCCCTCAACATAAGGTCGGCCCCCCTGTTCTCCAGTCCCCGGGATATGGAGGGCTCTCAAGATAACAACCACCTCTGAAGCCCATAACCACAGCCTCTCCGCTGGGCCAACAAGGCGGCGGAGCGGACTCCGCCTTGCTTGTTGATATAAGCCACTGTGGTGCTGTTGTCGGCTCCTGACCAATACATGTCTCCCTTGAACTAGGGCAGTGGTTCTCAAACTTTTTCTGGCATTCCCCACTTTGAACAGGTGGGGGCCTTTTAAAAGCCCCACCTGTTCCTCACCACTCCAATAAAATGGTAGGCCAAGCTTAAAATGGTCAAATGTATC